TTTGTATAATCTTCCTTTTATAATTTAGACTAATTTACTTTTGTAATGCATGCAATGCATATCAAAAAAACTTATTAAAAGTTATTCAACTTGATCTATTTAGCTCATCCATTTAAAAGCAACGGATTTATCTACAATCTACAATCTACAATCTACATCTACAATCTCTACTTCCGTTACTTTAAAATTAAATAAAAGTTTGTCACTCACCGGCGCTGATGCGCAACAGCGGAGTTGTTGGTCTTGAGGCTACGTTGTCTGTAACATACAAATATAAAATCCAAATTATAACAGCGTTCAAAATATAATTAATATTTTATATCCAATGCGTACAATACTAAGAAGTTCTATATAAATATGAAACAATTATATAAATTTTAAAAAGACTATATTTTCTTTAATATTAAAAACATTTATCGGATTTATGTAAGTCATTTTTTCTAATTTTCTCTTGTTTAATTCATTCAAATAATGAGACTGAATCAATGCGCGTACGCGATTTTTAATAACTAATATAAAAATAATAAATATTCACCCTTGGGTTGCTCCGCTGGTGCAGGATGCCTCTCCTAGGCCTCCTCCTCCTCTTTGTGTGTGAATTTGATTAATATAAATATAATATATTAATAATATGAAGTACATCCCGTTTGAGACTATTTTGACTTTAAAACACAAGATTCTTTGCCCTGATTAATCAATTAAACGCTTACTCAAAGTATTTCATTAATTAATCTAATAACCCAAATACTCCTAATAATCAAAGACGGAGTATGACGTCATTAATCGGTCACAGAACAATCAGACTTGCTTCACTCGAAAACGCTATATGTTACCGCCGGCATAGCTCTCAGGTTCATTAGAGTACGCAAACCTCCTCACCCGGCAAATGCCTTCGTTAAGGTGGAGATACCATCGAGGAGGAAAAATGTGTGAGGATAGTTTTCCTCTTTTTCATTTCTCAGGTTAGGGTAGGTTTTTTATTTTTATTTTAATACACAATAAATGATACAACAAATGATATAATAAATTTAATATACAAAATATATAACAAAATATAATCAGAAATTTAATACAAAATATAATCTGACATTTAATACAAAATAATTTATTACATGGAATTACACGAAAATGTCCAAAATATGCGTATAATAAAAAATTTACTAGAAATTTTTAAAATAGACAAGATTTTAGCAACGGTTGATTACGTAATATTCATTCTTAATAATCAACATACAATTATAAAGTTTAATAAGTTTTATAAAATGTAAATAATCGCGACCAAAAGAATCGTTAATAAAGTTATTGTCTTTTAATTATAGAAGAAAGAGAATTTGCATTACTAGCTACTAGCACTACTAATAAAATATTCAAGACGTGAAAAGATCGACCAAGCTTCGATGTAAATCAACGATTAAATTATAAAATAAATCGCGATTTAAAATTCGCTAGTAAACGCGACGAATAAATAAATCGACGATATTTGATTGCGATACGCGTAATTTCTCTAATAATCAAAGTTCATATACGTACGCGCACGCGATATAATTACTATCATTTTATGCAAAGATAATCGTATCGTAGTACTTCTCGCTACGAATTTTGGCCAGTATTGACCGCCTTTTTTGCGTAGCAAATCCATTCTTCGAGCCAGTTGGACCTACCTTTCGTTGCTCCTGGCCACTTTCTGGATCGATAACAGATATTCGAGATTTGTTATATAGCATCCACCGCCCGATTTATTTTCTAATACGCGATTTTATACGAATGTCGCGATCAACAATAAGATATATATTTTATCTCACGGATAACTGTTTCAACAGAATAAAATAGGTCTTATAAGCTTTTAAATATCGTTATAAAAAATCGCGTTATTGCCACGTTTTATAGAGATTAACAGACCTAACAATTTTATAACAAGCCCCTCCCTCCGCCGGGTGAGACGCCGGTTAATATCCGACAAAGAGAAGAACGATCCTAAAGGTGAAGAACGACCAATGTCTTGTTTCTACATCAGTTTCTGCAATATCAATCCGCAAAGAAAAGTTAAGTGATCCGTTGAACGTTAGAGCCGCTGCAAGAGGGAACGAATCCCGGATCTTCCGGACTGCTCCTGATAGCAATGATTTCGGTAACGAATCAACGAGATTCACGCGAGAAAACGTGTTCTTCCATCATTAAGAAATATATCTTTTTATTGAAAAATATATGGATATAACTATTTTTATGGAAATGTGGTTACGAACGATTATATTTACGGATAATAAAATACATGCATTATTATAAGTTGTGTTAAATGTGCGAGTACAAATAATTATCGTGTACCAACTGCTCGAGACAAATCAAACTCGATAAAAGCAAAATAAAAAAAAAATTTGATTCAAACACTTTGTACAATAAAATAAATCGAAGTAATTTCAAGTAATTACTTCTAAGCTATTTTTCTGTAGCGTTCAAATAAATTAATATGTCGATCTACTGATATCGGGGTACCCATTCGATTTGTCTCGAAGTTTTTAAGTATTCGCACATTTTACGTTACATTCATATATATAATTTTGTATATAACGTAATATTCAAAGTATAAAAATTTTTTGAAATAATATACTGTTTTGTGCATGTATTTTATTATATATATAAAATATATATATCCAAAAACATTAATCCAGAAGTAATGTCCTAGAGTAGCGGGATGTCCAGTATCTGCAAATAGTTTCTTAAAAGAAACCAAAAACTAATGTTAATATCCCAAGTGCCTAGAATCTAGAGAAGTAGTTTCTCAAAAGAAAACAAAAATTATATTAATTAATAATTAATTATTAAAATACATTTGTTCGTAACCATAATTTTTTATCAAAAATGGACAAACTGATAGCAACTAGAAATTACTAAAAAAATATAAATCTATACATAATAGCTATATCCATGTTTAATCTACTGTTAAGTCTTTTAATATACTGTTTTGTGCATGTATTTTATTATATATATAAAATATATATATCCAAAAACATTAATCCAGAAGTAATGTCCTAGAGTAGCGGGATGTCCAGTATCTGCAAATAGTTTCTTAAAAGAAACCAAAAACTAATGTTAATATCCCAAGTGCCTAGAATCTAGAGAAGTAGTTTCTCAAAAGAAAACAAAAATTATATTAATTAATAATTAATTATTAAAATACATTTGTTCGTAACCATAATTTTTTATCAAAAAAGTCACAAAAACGGACAAATCGATTACAATTTAAAATTACTAAAAAAATCTTAAAAACTAGGAAAAAAATTATTAAGAAAATTTTGATTGAAGGAAATTTATTTTTTATTTCACATGCGTGATATGTACATAAAAGTACTTCAATAATAACTTATTATCGCTGGCCGTAGTATATACTAAAATGACAAAACATCACGCGCAACTAATAAAATATTAATAAATTTATAATATTTCTCCGCATTTTTGATCCACAATTATGGATTTAGCACGGACACGAACCAACTGAGCGTTTTACCGTGACACCGAAAAGTGAACCTGGCCATGTAATTCCGCCGGCTCTAAAATGGATCCAGTTGGCGCTATTGCATTAGCTAGAAAAAGCGTCTTTCGAAAACGGCGGCGTGGCCCCTATCAGGCTTCTCTCTGGTAATAAAAGGAATTATTGTATACCGATCAACACTCAACTGTAGAATATCCTACCACCGATATCATCGTGTCGTGGCATCTATCACAAATGATCAGAGCTCGTTAGAAACATACACTCCAGTGAAAAAGAAGAAATGCCAGTAGGTTAGAAAATCAAAAACAAGTAAATTTTTTAACATCTATTACATCTATTACATCTAAATTAATTATGTATAATTATTGTTTTGTAATATTTAAATAGTCTTCAAAGTTGGAAATGTATGTATACATGAGAATATATTTATTCTTAATAATCGTTTCAGAGAAACATACAAGTTAACCTCAAAGGCATGTAAACAGAAGAAGCTGTCAAATCAAAGAAAGCATGTGATTGGAAAATAGACGAAAAGAAAAATAATAAATAGAGAAACGAATTCGAGACTTTTCTAAAAAAAGGTTTTTTCGACATTTAAGATACAACAAACCAGTGCAATAAGATGATGAAACAAGACAATGTTCAGGTTCCGAATCAGATACAGAATGTACCAATCATCCCCTATCAAATAGATTCCTCAATCGCTATAAGAATAGCCATGGGAGCAAAAATGATCCACGAAAGAGCACTGATGGCTCGTGCGGATATATGGCACAAAATCAGAGTTATCAGAGGCTCCCAGTACGACAAGGAGACAGTTTTGAAAGCTATTTTAAAAGCGATAGAACCAATCGATTTAATACCAGTGAAATATCAAGTTTGCGGAGAGGATGCATATTTTATAGCGAGAAATTGCGGCCCTGCTCTCGAAAAGCTGTGCAAAACAAACCTGATCATTAAAAATGTCAAAGGCGATGCTATTATTCTTGTGGTGACTTTGGGATACGCCTCGATCAATGATCTGAGAATCCACATACAGCCCTTACTATTAACCGCACTGACCAAGAAATACGATCCAAATCAAAAGATGTTAAACTTGGAAAACTTTCATTTAGATCCAGATATAGACAAGACTGTCTATTGCCCATTGTCACAGCTCAGAACGTCCAATCACGTTTTGAAGATGGCCAAAACTGCTATAGCCACTATTGAACATCTGAATCTACAACGCAACAAGTTGTTCAACATATCGGCAATAGAGAATTCGAGTTTAACATCCATTAAATACTTAGACTTGAGGCATAATAATTTATTGAATATGGACGCGCTAACTCCCCTCAAGAATCTGGAGATCGTCAAACTTTGGCTGGACGGAAATCCACTTTGCGAGAATTACTCAACCGCGAACCAGTACGTCGAATCTGCGAAAAAATATTGTCCACATTTGCAAGAACTAGATGGTGTATCCATTGTGCCAAATATGCCATTGATGTACAGAGACTACTTTCAGGACGAAAGGACGCAGCGTCTCGTACATAAATTCGCCTATCATTTCTTTAATTTACACGATCAACTCGATAGGACGATTTTACGAGGACTTTATCACAAGGACGCGTTTTATTCCATGAGCTTTGCCATTCCCAATGCAGTCGCGCAGAGGACTGGACTTAATCTGTACACAGGCAACAGAAATCTGCTAAAGAAAGGACCGAAGAAAAATACGTTTCTCTATCATACTCAGGAGGACATTCTGGTAGCTTTGAGCAAATTGCCCAGGTCTTATCACGACAGGAATTCCTTCACATACGACGTCATGTATGACGATGACAAGTGCATCGTGTTTTGCGTCTCGGGATTATTCAAAAAGCTAAGTTCCGGCACGAACGTGCTGTCGTTTTCTAGAACATTCGTACTGTTGGCTTCCCTGGACAACGAGTATCACATTTTAAACGACCAGTATCATATATACGCAGCGCCAGACAATGTGACATCCGATAAAATAGTAGTGAAATATGCATACGACGAGATCATGCCAGTTTGCTTCAGTCCGAGCGAAAAGTCGGTACTGATCACCAGAATGAAGCAGGTCACCAAAATGAACGACGAATGGTGCGAATCATATTTATCGGAAGATCAATGGGACATGCGAAAGGCGATATCCAACTTTATGAAGGATTTGAAAAGTTCCTCGATATCGGAAAACGCATTCGTTAATAAATAAAACAGGCGTTTTCAAAGTCCTACATAAATAACAATATTTAGCTTTGTGTAAATAAATTTGTAATTTATATATTTTAAAAGATTTTCTGGATTAGATCTTTCTCTCCGTAGCAAAAATTATACGCTATTTAATTATATTATATATACATTTTATAATACGATATACTCGCTTCGAAATGAGATAACATCGATGAGTATATCGCGAGGCGATGTTACTCGCATGGCATTTAAGTCGTCTCCAAGATGAAGAACGGGATGCTCGGTGACTTCATCCAAAGGTTATACACTCAAGGACCATCCGGACCGATGTGAATGAAACAAAATCGCGAAGGCAGGTGAGTTTTTTTTACCCTTTCTCTGATCGTATGCGAAAGACCTTCGAGACTTGCGGCACGCTCGGTTAAGTAAATCATTATGCTTGAATGCCGGATCTGTTATGGCTTATTAATAATTTAATCGTGACAATCTAAACAACATGACATCGCGAGTTATTATAGAGTCATTATCACGCACGAGAAATGTAATGCACCGTAAACCCGAGAATTTAATCGGTGGTCTGACATAATGAAAATGGTATTTATAATAAATTACATGTATTGTCGCGTCCGTAATTACACGTCTCGTAAGTTCATTGAAGCTTCAATAACGGTGCATAAGTTAATGCTATACGGGAGTAATAATTATGGAAATAATTTATAGCCTATTTGATTATAGAAGAAAAGTTTTTCAAAGTGCGAACCTTATGTAGATTTTCACCGGGAGATCGTGACAATAATTATCTCGAGTAAAAAGATGATGCTTTTGAAAAGAGTTGTCTTTGCCGAACGATTCTTGAACGATAACCTTCGATCGATTGAATACAATTAACCATTATATGTAAAATATTAATGTAAAATTTAATATCAAAAGAAAATATATATTTTGCGTAATACACGATTACGTGATTGTATGCCAAGTCGATTAGACGACTGATGGTTCTCAACAAAAAATATCGTGATACTCTTTTTAGAGATCGTAAATAAGAGCACGCAGAACATAAATAGACGTTAAATTTTACAGCGAATCATTTTTTCTTTCGATCAATCAACGCGATAAAAAAAAGAAACGGCGAGTAAACCCGGAAATGATACGAAAGGGAAAAGATTGAGAAACGTTGAACTAAGCTGTTACTAATAATTACGAGATTCGAGAAAGGGTACGTGTAGGTAACGACATAATAAAATGATTGTTGCCTACTGTGAGACTTCCAGCAGCCTCCCACGAAACAGCTACGGTAAAACCGCATGCTCTTCTACTAGTACCAATTATCCCTTGTACTAATTAAAGTATCCCAACTTCCTTTTCGATGCTTCCCGCATCGGTATCTTGAAGATCGAGAATATCGACGCGAAGTGTGATCAAGAAACTGCAGATTAAAATTAATTAGATATCGAAATGAGAGAGAAATGTATGCATCGAAATAAATTTATACAATCAAAGCGACTTTTAATTGCATACTAATAGAAATGATGAAGATGTATAACCGATATGTAATATTAATAATAAATCCTCTCTATTCGCGTCGCGTTAACGTGCCACCCAATCAAACAGACGTTTCATTTGATGAAGATTAAAAATCCATTGAATATAAACATATCAAGATGTGGGTCAGGGTAGCGTAGTGAAAGAAAGGAACAAAGTACAATTAGGAAGATGGCCCATTGAGACATCCTTGCGCCGAGATGTTCATAAGAAACTTACGCACAATGTAACATACTCGAAGAGATGATTCTTGGCGATAACCTGTTAGAGAAAGTCATCGCGTACAGATCCTATGTAAATTTCGTACGTCGTGTCGCTCCTCTGAAGGCATCGGCAAAAAGTAATAGTTCTATGAAAAATAATTTTTTTTTTTTTTTTAACACGAAAAATAGAATAATCATTTCCCATAGTTCTCTTTATATTGAATATGATTTAATATGACGGTTTCCAAATGATTTTATTATGTTATAATTTTAAGAAACTTGCGATTACAATTGCAAGAGAGTTATTCTAATGTATTTTATCATGTTATAGTTACAATGTGTCATGTGTAGGAGAAATTTTGTTTTCCAATTAAAAATACGTTGTTAAGAGAGATTTTTAGCCTTCGAAAAAAATTTCTAATGACCGTTATAGTTAATAGATTTATCGATTAAATACAGAGTCTAGGTGCAATGTGTGACGTGATGAAACAATTTGGAAGACAGAGTCGTATTCAGCGTCAAATAAATCACGGGAAATGATTATCTATTCCATGTTTTTTTTTTCTTTTTTTTTTTTTTCTTGAACTGTATAATAAGACATCGGTTACGCTCGTGATTCTCTTCTGTGCGATTAGAGGCGACTTTAATTGAATAGCAACGGCGGATAAGTCCAGAAAGGAAAATTAATGGGAAAACCGAATTGGAGCACGAACGCCTTATACATTCATTATACAAAGCGAGAAACGCTCGGTTAGGTAACATAATATCTAATAATGTGAGATAAGACATGTGTTCTTGTTCGCTTACCGATGCTAATGAGCAGGAAAAACGCCAACAGTTTCACGCGCGTCAATCTAGCAAGAAAAATCTAACGCATATATAACGCTTAATTCTCTAATTATAATACGAGGCGAAAGTGCGTGAGTAAAAGAGTGAGATTGCTTATCGCTGAGAATTAAAATCGCTAAATCAATTATGTTTAACGCCGAGAAGAAGTAACTTGATTAATTAATCATAGCATTATGCAAGCGATTACTGCGAATGTTTATTAATTACTATTGCGAAATTTCAAATACAACGCACGTATTATTATGAGATCTTTATATCATAAATAAAAAGGCAAAATATATACGATCGAATTATATCGCTTAATAAGAAGGCTCTTTGAAAGTAAAATGACAGGATTCACTTCACCGACCATTCTTATGCCATATACAGAAATTCAAGGATATCAACGACGCAAATCTACCAATTACGGCATCCTAAAAGAAGCATCATTATCTTGCTACAAAATGCAGAATAAAATAAAAAGGACTATATTTAATGTCTATCTGGTCGATAATTTCAGTGACTTTAATAAATATATATTCTTCTTGTGCGATATAGTATCTTTTTACATATTTTATGATTTCCGTAACTCACACATAGCGGTCTTTAAAACGATTCTAAAGTCAAAGGCGAGTTTTTGCAAAAGACGATTTGTATTGCAAACAAAATGTTATGAGATGGAGAGAGAGAGAGAGAGAGAAAGAGAGTGATCGGTATTTGTTAAATAATGGAACGAGCTAAGCCACCTTTTCCCAGTCTAAACGAACAAAATTATCGCAAAGTGAAGAAATCGACCATTGGATTTAGTAACGTTCACAGAACTGAACTGATTCCCACGAATAACGTTATAATGGCTTTTGCGAAAGCGAAAAAAAAAAAATCCGTTCTTCTATGCGCATTTTTGCGGAAGTAGATGTTCCGCTACAAAAAAAATTAACATTTATCTTTATAAAATACGACGTTTTTGATACGTTCCCTAAGATATCGAAGCAACATTTAGTACGAGAACTTCAGAATCTTTATACGAATATATATGTATGTAGGATCCAATTCATCCTAAGATAAACGGCTGTACGATTTAAATAGCCTCAAGCTTAATCGATTGGAGACAGATAGAATCGATCCTCATGGCGGAATCGGCAGAACGACATTGCGTTACTCTCTGCGAAAGGAAATCGAAGACGAGTGCCGGTGATTCTGTTAGATAGACGTAACAGTCCGATCGAGAGCAATTGCGCAAGAGGCGAATTTTCGCAAGACTCTCGTCCGCATTCATGCGAACATTTCTGTTGGAGAAGAGCGATACGATTCACCTAAGATGCATCATTCTGTACGAGTGTGTAATTCCGTGCGCGTGTGTGCGCACGCAAATACGCGCATAAGACGTGAATAATTAAAAAGGGCAAGTTTACGCCATCTTTCCGTTAACGAGTATATGCGCGCAGCTGTATTTCCTTGCAATTATTAAGAGAGAATCTGCTTCCTTCCCCGACTTATCTAACAAAACTTGTAACCATACAAATAATGGAAAATATCGCTTTTTTTTTTTTTTTGCGAAACAACGAACCTGCGGGTGCATAATTTTTTTTATGTTTTTACATTTATTTTTCTTGCATTTAATATTCTGATATTTGTTCCTTACATCTTTCAATCCTCTTTATCCTAGCATAGAATTTTTTAAGCACTTGTTACTTACAATTTTTCTCATCCGAATGTTTTGTAAAGATTTTCTCTCTCTTCGTACTTTCTCCATGTATATTTTTTCTATTGTTTATGTTATTTATATAGATATTCATCCCTCTTTCAAAGAGAAGCTTCATCTGGGAGATCTTTCTTCGATCCCGCTAGAGATGAAAGATAAATCTTTCATCTCCAACGTTGTTCCGTAAATATTCGTTCTTCTTTTAAAGACTACTTCGTTTGAACGCTTTGCGATCGTGTAAGGATTTACTTTCATAGTATTGTTTTTCCTTAAGACTAATTAGTCTGTGCTTTTTTCTCATCTTCGCTTCTACCTGTCTATGAACCTCGGGGAGAATTTCTCACGGCAGTTGCGCATACAAAATCTCTCTCTCTTTCTTTTTTTCTTTATCCTATTCTCCTTTCCGATCATTTTCGCAGAAATTGAATATAAATTACGCGGTATACAAATATCGTAGATAATAAATATATAACTAAATCGTCGTAAAATAAAATATTTATTTATATGTCTCATCTACTCAGTAATCTAAACAATCTCTTATCGCGATCTCAGTTTCTTATACCCAGTTAAACGAATACGGTTCGAAAGCAAATTGCTGCTCGCAAAAGCCCGAGCCCTTCGCGGATAAATACATCGCTGAAATCGCGCTTTTTGAAGGGATCCCCTCGACCGCGATCTCGTTCGAAATTTTCGGAAAGATAGCTCTATCTCGCTCCCACATGTGGGAACCACCGCTTGTATAATCGCGGCCGTTACTTCCACGTTTCACGGCGAGCGCGGGTTCGCGTATCACGCACGCACGTAAGAGCCCCGCGGTTTCACGCGCGTGCGTTTATGCAACATTACGCGAGATCGCTGTGTATGTCGTATATCGACGAGATCGTCGTGTCGA